TGTATGCACCCGCTGGAGGCATCCTGACTTGAATGGTGTTTTACTGACTCCCCTGCCCCTATACCACTCCCCTTCCCCCATCTTGCCTAGTTTAAAGCCCTCCTTACCAGGCTGGCCAATCTGTTGGCAAAGACGCGCGTGCCCCGCTTGGTAAGGTGGATCCCGTCTCTCCCCATCAGCTGTTGATCTTCAAACAGGGTCCCATGGTCATAGAAACCAAAGCCCTGTTGCCAACACCAGCGGCGCAGCCAGCTGTTAACTTGGAAAATTCGTCTACTCCTCCTCCTGTCCTTTCCCCTCACAGGCAAGATTGAGGAGAAAACGACCTGGGCTCCCAGACCCTTGACCACCATTCCCAGAGCTCTGAAGTCCCGTTTGATGGTTTCCAGTTTGCCTTTCGTGTCATTAGCACCCACATGGAAGATCAGCAGAGGGTAGTAGTCTGATGCATGGACAAGCCTTGGCAGTCTTTCCATGACATCTCTTATTCGAGCCCCTGGCAGGCAGCAAACCTCTCTGGACAAGACATCAGGTCGGCAGATAGGTGCCTCTGTCCCCTGCAGCAGGGAGTCACCCACAACAATCACTCGCCGCTTCTTCTGGGTGTTCCTGCACAGCACGGGGTCTGCCAGGCCAGTTGCCTCCCTTGGAGCCATGCCCAGCTCCTCCTCAGCTTGCAGGGTGCTAAACTTGTTCTTCAAGGGTAAGTCTTGAGGAGGAGTAAGAGCCTTTCTCCTTCCACGAGAGGTCACCAGCTTCCAGTCCTCTTCCACAGCGTTATGATGCACCCTTACACACAGTACAGAGCCCTCTGACAACTCCGCTGCAGTGGGGGCAGGGGACTCCTGGAGCTGCACAGTCTCCGAGAACACCCTGTCAATCTCCTGCTCATCCTCTCGGATGCTATGCAGCCTAAAACTTCGTCCCGCAGCTCCTATCCAGCAAGCAGATTGCTATCCAGCAAGCAGATTCTGAAGAAGGTGTGAGGGCATCCAAACCGCTGAAAATTTCTCTGTTCTCAGAACAGGACTACATTTGAACAATGTGGGCACAACAGCAGCCTTTACAACGGTAATCTCTGATTTGGAAGATAAATCTGTAACTGCTCATTCTTGCTGCTAATATAACCCCCTACATGCAGTTTCCAAGAGGTCAGTGCCACTGCGCTCGACGAGAAGTTTGGAGTATTTGGCGCTAAGTAAGTCCAAGAAAGGTGAATGAGTAGTGACTGGGACTTTACACCCTCCAGGAGGCAGACACTGAGAAACAAACGTGTGACATATGGTCATTGCAAGCCCTGTGACTGCCAAAGAGGCTGGAAAGGACCTCAAGCAAACAGCTAGTTCTTATTTCATTTCAAGACAGGATAAACTCTAATTATGTTATTACAGATGATTGTCTAGTCTGTTCTGTAAAACTTTTAACAATGGAAGTTTAATAGCCTCCCTAGGTGAGTTTTTCCAAAGATTAATTAAAATTGTCAAAGAAAGTAGCTTAGGATCAGTCATATCTTAAACAAATAATATCCTTAGATCAGAGAGAGACTCCTTTTCGCAGAAAAACCTCTTAATTTCTAATCAGGCAGATCCTTTTGGAGGGAAAAATAGCAGGGATTAAGTTCACTATTTTAAGAGTGAAATTAAGGTGGATTCAATAACCTGCTGATTTCAGCCTTGATAAAAGTCTTATTAATGCAAAATGGAGTATGAGCAGTTGTTGAATTGTGTGCCAAGGAAGAACATTTCAAATGCCCTGAACAAGTAACACACATTATGAAGAAGTGCACTTATATGGTGATGTGTCATTGCTCTGGCAAGAATCAGGCATCAAAAGTGCTTTTTAGGGACTCCAGAAAGATGGAAAAGTTGCCAGGATCTTATTTTATGAAGTATAAATGTAGCACAAGAGATGTAGTTGGGGGAAGGAGAGGAGTCCTAAGAGGAATCCCCTTTGGACGAACCTGATCAAACTCATACTTAAGCGTTATTTTACCAGTATAACAAAGACTGTTTAAGAAACATTGAGAGAAACTTGATTTGGGAACAAAAATTAAAGAACCCCATGAATCTTTGAAAAGCAATAACACAAATTTTCTTCTGCTTAGCTTTTAGCAGATGAAAATCAACCAAATTACAAAGCATTGTGTACACCAACACCACAGCAATGTACAACACTGCATCCTGAGCCACGCTGCCGGTGGAGGACATTTCCAGTTACCTCCAGTGAGCAGCTCTGCTGCTGCCACAGACAAAGCACTGTCACAATTTGTCCAATAAGATGGACACATTTTACCAGGGGCCCTGCTTGGACTAACACATTCATTAAAAGATTCAGGTCCTCACTGTGAAATTCCTCAGAGAACTTCAAGGACCAAAGCAAGAGTCAGATCTTGCTTCTGTGGACTCTAAGCTTATTAGAGCATATTAGAAGCAAAAGCTCTGTATTTCCACTGTATGTCCACCACGTTTGAGTTCCCTGATGGTTTTCAGGGCATATACCACTACCTCTTTCCAGGACAGGCAGGACTATTTTCTTGCAGTGCCAAATCTGCAAAAAAGTTCCTGGGAGTCCTCGCGGTGAGCAGACCTTCAGCCACGAGACCTTGCTGAAGCAGAACGATGCTGACTTACGCAAGCCAAAGATCCGGCTTTACCTCGCTTCAAATCTTCCAAAGCAAATTCAGGTATCTGTTTAGGTTTGAATGAAACCAAAGCAGAGGAAAACAGAGACAACATGCCACAGGATCTGAAAATGCTGCAAAGACCGTGTTGAATCAGAAAATTTCTGCAGTACCTACAGCACAGAGGCAATAAAGCAGGTTTCAAACTCCTGCTTTCCTGATATTGTGTTGGGGAGAGAAAAAAAAAAAGTGTTCGACACTCAAATGCAGGAGCTACATAATATCAGAGATTAGCTAGACAAAAAGGAAAAGTAGACATAGCCAAGGCATGTTTCAGAGAGGACAGCAACAGAGCTAAGCAACACAGCAAGAACAATTTCAACTCAGGAAATTAAGTTTATCAGAAAACGGTACCAATCGTACCATACAGGAGAACATACAACAAAGGCTAGAGACACAAGGCAAACCAAAGCAGCCCCTAGAACATTTTTAGATGGAGTTTTTCTGTTTCAAAGTATTACCTGTCCCTATCCCCGCTTCGCTGCTATCTGTTTGTCCATTCACCGAGCATCCTGGTGACAAGCAAAAGCCTAATCCTGTTGCAAGGAGAGAAAAAGTGGCTTCCTGACTGACCAGCCTGTGCAATCTCATCTACTCTATTCTCAGGTAAAGCAATGAGGTCTTACAACAGACCCAGAGTATGTACTTACATAACTATTTTCCAGCTGATAAACCTATTTAGAGTGACTTAGTGATTTAAACTAAGATTTGACTAAGATTTACTTAGTCATACAGCAAGGCAGTGGCTGGGAACGTAACTCAAGAATGCCGTGTCTCTGTCCCCCCTTTTGCTGCTGGATCTCTCACCTCCCATCACCGGCTAAAACTGATATTAAAATTGTCCCCTTTTCTGTCGTTTTACCACTGAACCAGTAGTTCAACGCTGCAAACTCCTGTGCAAAAAAAAGCTCACAGAGGTGGTACTTTCCCCCAACTCAAAGAAATATTGTCCAGTTATTTCCTAACTGCATGCAGAAACTGAGATTCTCTGATATCTAAGAGTCATGATTGTCAATTTGCCATTAAAAACAGCTCAGAAGTCTGATAAATGTAAAGAGTTGATTTCCCTTTGGTGAAAAGTGCCGTTGCGTCACTGTGCTGACTTACAATTTTACACCTTCTGACAATTATCTTCCATGAACAAGAAGCAGAGCAGTGAGAAAGGAACACAAACACACAATTTCAGAAAATACTTTCTCTCTTGCTGTAAGAGACTGCTTTGGAACATTAATTTTAATTTATGACTTTGAAATCAACAAATCAATATTTTATGTTTCTGATATTACCTATGACAAAAATGATGTGGTCTCTCCCAAATTAATTTTATACTAAAGGTAATGCTAGATCTCTATACACCTCCAGAAATACTAAAGAAAATACCAGTCCAGAAAGACCAATATTTATCAAAGTTCCATAATGCTGCTCAGACGCATTACATCATAAAATTATCTCTGGTTATATCACACTTGCCTAGTGACCACAATGCCATCAGAAGAGACGGAAGGAAAAAAGAAGAAAAGAAATTATGCAACCATCAAATATCAACACTTTCAGGACACTGTTCTGACTTTCTCAGATATGCTGAAGAAGACTAGATCCTAAAAATCTTTGTGTATGAAACTTCATATTCCCTAGGAAGGAGGAAAAAGGTGAAATGATAATTGAAAGGGTTCTGTGTGAAACTAAGTGCCAGTGAAGGCAATGTAAATATGAACCTAAATTAATAAAATAGTGGAATATATACATGCATTTTTGCACCTACCTTTTGTGTGCACATACCCACACTTCCAGCATTTAATTTTTTCTAATAAGAAAAAAAAGGACAGAAACAGGACATACCTTGTTCTCAAACTCTGTATATAGCATTCCCCCTATAGTTTCATTGCTGCTTTTATTTTAATGTCCGGATTAAAGCAATCTTCAAAAACCATAAATCCACAGCTCATTTGATGTTTCAGCTTTTAGCATTTAAAAGGCACAGGGGAAAAACATGCTGCAAAGACGAGCTCTCTCTTTCCTCCCCTTGCTGACTTTGGTAGCAGGCTCTGGATGTTGTGCTGCTCGTTTCTCCCTCTCTCCCTCTTTCACACGGTGCTGCTGTACGTCCTCGACTTCACCACAAGAAAATCACTTTCTAGAGCAGCCAGCCCCCATGTCCTCACCGAGCAGCTTTCCAAAGGAGCAGTGACATCTCAGAGAGAGCTCCTGGGAGCCAACCACTGGCTGGGAAGGGGTGTAAGGCAGACCTGCTGGAGCTGGCCAAAATCTGTCCAACCACACATCACATGCTGCTGGATCCCTCCTGTGCGTTTCAGAGAGCACAACTGTAATCTTGTTTAGTGTCCATGCCGCAAAACTCAGAGCACTTTTAGATTTGAAGGATTACATGTTTTTTTCTCATCAAGTTCCTCTCTGGGAAGAGAAGAAAGAAATCTTAAATCCTAAAAGGTCCTTTTACAGATTTAATAAAAGCATCTTTTAGTATTCTATTTCACTAATGCATTCAGTATTTCACTAATGTTTCCCTATCTCCCGGTCATTCGTAAAACTGGAGTGGATAGTAAGAATCCATGTGTGCAAAAGATTACTACCCTGAAGTCAATATGTTTCAATATCAGTTGAAGACCTGACTTTCAGAAGGTACTGCAGAAAAATAAATTTGAAAGCCTGTAAAAGTAGTTTACAAAAATGAAATATAGAAATCAATCCCAGATTTTTTCATACTAAGGAAAATTTCTGAGTCTTTAAGGCTCTGCCCCACAGAATCCCTTCGTTTTTCTCAACTGTCTGCTCAAGAAGCAGTTCCCTGGGTATTGCAGCAAAATGAATGTTATTCTGGATATAGAAAGAATATGTATTGCAGGGAACATTTTTAGTTGTCCTGTAACCATAGACTAACCCTGTCACCTTTCTGCTAGAGGCTAGAAATTAAGAGGCTGAAGAAGTCATTGACAGATTTTTCATAAATAACTCATATGATGCTTTAATACTTAATACAAAAGCTTTTTTTTCCACTTTCCTTTAAAAAAGAATGACCATGAGCTTCATTAGTGTCTTTCAGCTCTTGCCTAGAAGTGAAAGGATTTCATCGTGTAATTAAAAGATCAAAAAGGGGAGGAAAAAGAAAAAAAATGTTAAAAGAAGAGAGGAACAAGCAAATGGTTTCTAGAAAGAAAGACAGCTGACATTCTTCTGAGCCAGGGGCAGTCCTACAGTAAGTCTGGCTATCACTCTCTGATGGTAACATAAAAAGAAAAGTAACATGTTTTTGCCTTTCCCTAGTCAAGGGACATGAAAGCATATGTTAAAGGGATAACTTACTTTAAAGAAGCCCAGTTTCAGACTGGATCCAGCTAGTCCATCTGGTCTGCAGCCTTGCCACCTTTTATCTATCACTATACATATAGTTTCTTCAACCCATAAGCACAATATATAAAAGGCAACTCCAGAGTGACCTTCTGAACAACCCAAAATTGGCTTCCAGGCTACAGCATCAAAAATTTTGAATGTAAGTGACTTCAGGACAGTCCACTAAAGAATTAACACAAACAGAGTGCTTTATAGTAAACTGATCTGAAACTATTTTGCAGAAAGTGTTCCATGTTAATGCTATCTTTTATTTACAGGATGAAAAACCAAGGCAGAGAAATGTGAAAAGGATACTTTTTAGAAACAACAATTCACTTACCTACTAGGTAAGATTTTCAGTCTTCCCAACTGGCATAGTATGCCAAAATGGCCCTAGATGCCAGGAAAGTTCTTGGGGTGTGAAACTCCAACTCCTTCAAAACCAGTCCTACTCTACTACCCTACAAGTCTCAAGATAAAGTGACCAAGTTAACAGTCTGCTCTGCAGGTACAAAGTCCTGAAGACAGATGCTACGCATTAGCCCTTCCCTCTTCTCCTCGACTTTTTTCACACACACATGGAGAAGAGAGAGAAACAGCTGTACTTACTAAGGCTTAAAAAGAGTAATATCACATGGAAGTGTCAGGATTTGTAAAGGGCAAAGAGAAATGGATGAAAAGGAGGAAAGGGGAAAGATGGGAGTGTTTTATAGCATCACTGAGCACCTTTGGCATTAGGAGACAACAGGAGCTGCCCCAAAGCAGTACCAAAATAACTGTTCTTTTAGGGTTGCCACTGAAATTTCTGACCTATGATATCACTTGTTAAGGAAGATTTTGACTTCTGTTACGGAGGCAAACACCTGCAGATGTAAAGCATGAATTGAAATTATTTTAGGGCATATCACATCTCCAGGAAGCAGTTTGCTTTCCCCCTTTGCAAAAATCAAGGCAAACAGCTCATGAAAGGCAGCAGTAGAAGAGAAGCGAGTTTATAGCTCATATTGGTGGTATGGTGTTGTCACTGCTAGCAACAGACTAGAGACCTCAAGTCTTCATCTTAGCCAAAGTATTTGTCTTAACTGGTCTTGACTTGCTCTGTGTGCTCTAGCAGCAGGCAGATGGCTAAACTTTAATAACAAAAACAAATGATCAGGGGTTTTTTTGTTTGTGTTTGTTTTTAAGCTATAGTCCTTGTTCAGTAGCCTTAAACCTTGGATATGTTCATAATTAGTAAGGTTTAGCCATACCACGTATAGCAGAAGTCCAGCAAACAACCACAAGTGATCAAAAATCCTAGCATAGCATAGAATCACAGATCAATGGAAAAGAAGCACTAGGAAACAATAATATAAAAATATCCCCAAACAAAGCCCAGGACCGAAGAGGATCATAAGAGGAAGAAACCATTGCCATTAACATCTACGTTCACTCAGTGGTAACTCGGGGAACTAACACCTTGTCATGGCAGCCCGCAGTGAGAAGAAAACTGGCCAAGTGACTGCAGCAATCTGCTGCCAAAGAGAAGGGTGAGAAATAGCTTGGAGAAGAGAAGCAGGAATAGGGCAGTGTAGCCAGTGTATTACTATTAATTATATCAGTAATTTCACATATCTTATTTTAATTAAACTATTTGGATTATGCAGGCACGTGTTTCATTTTAATTGGATAGGTAACAGCTTTTGCCTTGCTTTGGACTAGCAATCAGTTCTTGGATGTGCATATAAAGTGTGTTCTCCTTTTGTCCATAAATAGATCTCAAGTGCACCAGGACAGGCTTAGTAGATGGCACCAACACAAATACCGGGGACTATTTGCAAAACTAATTCAGGTACATGGAGGCTTAGTGAAGGTGCAAGACTTTAGATTCAAGTTGTGGAACTATTTTCCAAGAACTCTGAGGGAAAAAAGCCATTGTTTGGAAGACAAAGAATCAGATATGTTCTAGTGATTGGGGAGAACCAAGAAGTTGCTGGTCGTCTCAAGCTTGGAAGAGTCCAGGAGACACGTAACTTTCATGTCAAGTCCATCATAAACAGAAAGAAATGAAAGTCAATAGTGAACATACTTGAAAGAACACAAGACTAGTTTTTAGAAATCTAGCAGCAGTACAGAAGGAAAAAAATATTCAAGAAAAAGAATTCTTTCCCCTACCAGTTCAGCTGCCCACAATGAATAAGTGCAGAAGGCAAATGGTGGTATTTTGCTAGCAAAAAAATTCTTTCATTTCTAAAGCAGCCTTGTAATGAATTAATGATTTAATATAAAGGTCAAAAGAAGATCAGAATGGCAATGCTTGGATTACTGATACTTTACAGCACTGTAACATTTCCCCCCCCACACCTCTATTTCTATCCCTTCTTCCTTCCCTCCTCCCGCTAACAAACAGCGTGAAACAGTCAAGCTCCATGTTAACTGCATCATTTGCACCACTTGGCAATATTCCTGGTACAGCAGGCAGAATGTTCATTCAAAGTTTATACTGTCATGTGCCAGATGCAAGTTGCCTTATAAGCATCTTCCTTCCCATGGTTATATAAAGTTTTGTGGTCTGATGTTTAATGTCACACTGATCAGCTGCGATAAAATTTAAGAAGTAACTTCCTCCTCTGCTTATGAAATTTCAGCTTGGCTACACACAATGGCTTGAAAGAAAGAAATTTGAGTACAAGAGCCTCATCCATCAGGACATGTCTATACAAATTATTCTTGTGGCACATGCACTCTCTCTCATTAAGAAATAGATGCCAGGACTCATTACAACTCAGGCACAGGGCAAGGCTGTGCAAACCTCCAATTTGTACACCGTGACATGTGACAGAACAAATTAATACAATGTCAGGGCAAAGCTGAAGGCAGAGAACAGCTCAGTGGTGGTGGCTGCCATCCTCTCTCAGAGCTTCATCTTCTAGCTGCCAGAAACTGTTAACTGAGCCATTGACTGTGCTAAATCTAGTAGCACCATTTGGGGTGATATTTTAAATATTAATGTTGGGACACAACTTGCCAGTTGGAGCAACTGCGCACATGCCCAAACCTTCCCTGTTGCCATGTCACTGGATGAGCTCTAACTTGCTTGACTTTGAAAACTTCTCTGCAATGACTGAGCAACCAAGAAAGATACCTGGCACACCAAACAATCATAAATGTATCAGTCCACTGCTGTCAACATGAAAGTTGGTGAGAAGGTACAGATTTACGGGGTGGAGGAGCTATGGTATTTCAAAGCAATGCAGCAGTTTGGCAGGAGGATTTTGTTGTTGTTGTTTTTTTAATAGTTTGAGAAGAGACGGCAAGCAGCTCAGAAGCATATGAAGTTCTTTCACTGTCCAGTAACAAATCTAAGAGACCTCTCAAAATTCCTTGTCTCAAGGGAACAGAAAACTGCTGCGCTCAAAACTTCCTATGATGTCCTCTTTCAGACAGAGATGAAGCGGTGAAGACTCTCTTCTCAATAAAGAACCAAAAAGGAACGGAGCTGATAAGTAGCATGTAGAAATAGATTGCTGTCATTGTTGACCAAGAGATGATCTGGAAAGCTAAATAAACAGAGAAAATAGAATGTTTTAGTTAGTAACAGTCCTAATCAGGGAAGGAAAAAAGTACAAAACTGAAGAAGGGATAACCTGACAAACGTCTTACTCTTGCCACAAGCTATGAGCATGCATAGCTAGCTAACACAAAACAGCTCATACTTGGGAATTTGTTTATACCAGTGAGCTCTGTAGGAATTGATTAAGTCTGTGTCAAAGAGGAAATCAGATAAAAGACAACTAGTAGATCATTTTGGTCTCAAAATGTAGTATCTTCTCATTCAGTCTGTGTACACTTGGGCTCCTAGTGTATGGATACAGTTCCTCAATGGGACATCAATGAAAGTCACAATAGGTAGGTGTATGAAGAAACACGTACCCCTAAATTAAGTGAGATAACAGTTCTAGGAACACAAGCATTCTCACCATCACACCTACTTCTTCAAAATAAAAGGCAAAAAAGTTTGCTAGATTTGTTATTTAATACTGATTTTCAGACCCTTACAGCTTGATCTCCA